TTTTAATAATTTGAAATTATTATTGTTTCCTGATATTTTAAAACAATGATTTTTGAAGATATTGTATTTTCTTAATATAAATGTTTCATCCTCTAATAAATTCAAAGGGGCACTTATGCGTCTTAGGTAGTTAGATATATAAGAATAGCTTAAAAATACAATAAAGGCAATGAATAAGAAATGCAATAAGGGCAATAAATAAATTGTTTAGAATTTATCTTGAAAATGAGTACAAAGCTTTTTCATGTTTTATATTGAAAAGAGAAATAAATTCTCCCATTCAAAACGATGGGGATAACTTAAAGATCTGAGTTTTTGTGAAAGATGTGCAGGCTCAAGGTTAATTCAGTAGAACTACCATCCATGTGGACGTATTTCACTGTGTTCCCACTTTGTTAAAGCAATGCAACCCTTGATACATGTTGAAAATTTAGCATATAAAAAAATGCAGATTTACTTGTGAAAATATGTCAAGAGTACTGCCAGATTAATTACACTATGTATAAAATAAATACTTCTACCATGTGGAGGGTAGTTTGGTTAACTAAAATACATCAAAATATAAGCAGAGTCAAAATCCTTCTAATATTCTTTTTTTAATGTATTTTTATTTATCTATTTAGTACAGGGTCTACAGGGAATCACTACACAGATTGGACTTGTAGTGATCCTTTCTGTTTTTTAGCCTCCCAAGTGCTGGGATTATAGGTTCCTACCACCACATCCAGTCTCAATTGTCCTCTCAATGTGCCCCGGGGGTGGGGCCAGCCTGGCAGGCAGGGAATCAAACCTCCCGCCCTTGTGTCTGCCTAAGCAGGCTCCTTAATCTGCTGAGCTATCTGGCCGGCACTTAATATTCTTAAACATTGAACCACAGGTCAGAGATTTTCAACATTTAATCAAATGCCTGGGTTTAATATACTGGATTACTTCTTATCTAAAAAATCAAGTGTGTATATTTCCACAACATAAACTTGAATTTTACAAATTGTTGTCAAAATTAGTTTATTTTAGGTATTGTTAGTCATATTCAGGAAGCCATTTTGTGCAAATGTCAAAAAGGGAAGATCTTCGTGAACAAAGGTGCTTTGTTCCTACTTTGTTAAAGTAATTCAACCCCATGATACATATTGAAAATTTAGCATATAAAACAAATGGAAGTGCAGATTTACTTGTGAAAATATGTGAAGAATGTTGTCATTCTTGGTACCTAGCATACATGTACCCATATGTGCCCCACTCTTTGATAAGCTAAGACATGTGATTGTCAGGTGAGTACAGAAAGTCAAGCATTAGTATCTCTAGTTAAAGCTTCTAACAACAAGGCAAAGCAATCAGAGTGCTGAATTCTAAGCTGTTACCCTCAACCAACCTGTAGAAAATTAGATGACCTTCTAAAATGAAGACTTCACAATGATATAATGCAACATTCAAGTTTATTACCATAAGCAAGGATCAAATGAAAATGTTTTCGTTGTGTTGCTTAAAAATGATTATGACATAGTGTATTATGAAGAAAAGTGTGAATCAAAAAGAAAAAAAACAAAGAAAAGTGTGAATCAATGTAGTATTTCTCTGCCTTCTATGTAAAGACCACTTTCATTTCATAATGATTTTCATGTGTGTGGAGACATATTTGTTCTTTGAAATGAAACTTTAGAAATTTAAATCTGTCATCTTGCTGTTGAAAGTGTCATGGTTTGACACATTGTTAAAAGTAGTGTAATTCTAGAAAATTCAAAACAGTAACTTTTATAATCAATTTACTTTTATTTCTAAAATTAATCACAGTCTCACTGTGTGATCTTGACAAGCACAACTTTTTTGATAATAATGAACAACTTGACTGACAAATTCATGTCTAGAAATAAAATACTTAATTGAGAACTGATTTGTTCATATTGCCATTAATTCACTGTTTTATGATTTGTGATAGAGTATAACTTATTTCACAAAGAATTTTCCTATCATCTTTGAGTCCGAGGAAACAATACATATTGCCCATATGCTGTAAAAGCATTACAGCCTCAAATCAATTTAAAATCTCATTACTCGAGCAAATTCTTTAGCGAATCCATTAACTCTACCAAAGATATTTTCAGTATAAACATGGAATACATAACTTTAGCAAATTATAATTACTGTCGTAAAAATTACAGAGCAAAAATAAAACATGAAGGATGGAGGAGAGAAATGTCAGAATTTAAGTAGGAGGAAATTTTGAAATATATCGACAATGCTCTGAGAACTTTTACCAAACTTAGTTTTAGACCTCTACCTGAACCATCTACAACAACTCTTTGTGATGAAATAATATGACCCTGTTTTGAAAAAGAAAAGTACACATAAATTTATCCTGAAAAAAATATTTTAACATTCTCCATCAATTTGACAATTACTTTCATGGGCATTCCTTGAGTTTTGAAACTGTTAATAAAAGGTAAAAATAATAAGTGATTCACATTATGAAATTATGCAACTATGAAATTATATTCTTTTTACTTTCTAGATAATCCAGACCATCAGTGCAGTAGATAGAGATGAATCCATAGAAGAGCATCATTTTTACTTTAACCTCTCATTGGAAGACATTAGCAATTCAAGTTTTACAATCAGAGATAATCAAGGTAATACTATTCCATTAATAATTTTGGATCCATTATCCATAAATCATGTGATTGTAATTTGATTTATTGCATTGATGTTTATATTGTTCTTCCAACATGACAATATTGAGAAATACAGCAAAAGAGTGATAATAAAAACAGAAGCATAACCCAAAGTCAAATCCTGAAAATTTGGACTTCGGTTTTCACTACGTATCTTCTAGTTGGAACCACTATTCTTTTAGATCTTTAATTAATTAACTTAGTTAGTTAGTTGATTCAAGGTATCATTAAACACCTTGGATTCATAGTGATGCTCCTTTCTCAGCCTCCCCAGTGCTTGGTTTACAGGTGTGCACTAGCATGGCTGGTTTTGGTGGCTAGCACAGCATGCTTGGGATTTCGAGTCCTGCATGGCATGAGGTACCAAGTATTGAATCCAGGTCCTTGTGCTTCCCAGATAGGCACTTAGACCACTGAGCTATCTACCCAGCCCACATACTATTACTGAACATCATCCATACCTATAAGTTGTTTGAAAGTGGCTCTTGACCTCCAAATATGATTACATTCTAACATTATGATTTCTTCCAAACATTCTTCTATAATAGTCCCAACCTATATCTGAGGAAAAAATGATTGATTCAAAGGTATTTCCAGTCATTAATTGGTACCTAATATATATATATATATATATATATATATATTCAATCTTTTACAACATTATTTATTGTCAAGTGAAGGATAAATTATTCTGAAAGATTTTGTGTGGGGCAAGATTTATACCTACTCTTTGTGGAAGTAAATCAATAGCATGGAGCCATTATATTTTGGTTATATTACTATGTATTTGTACTTTTAATTTTCCTAATATAGCAAATAAAAAATTATGCAAGCATTTGCAATCAAGTAGTTTTTTGCTTTTTGGGGGTTTTTTTTAGATGATACCAGGGATCAAACTCAGGATTTTGTGCTTGTCAGGCAAGCACTTATTCCACTGAGCTATCTCCTTAGCCCCTGCACCCAAATAGTTTTAACTGTCTTTTCTTACAACTGAGTTTATGGTCTGATCTAGAGGAATTCTTTTGAGAGAGAGTACATATAAACAAATTTCCCTCCACTTTATTCTTGTCAAATTCCCCAGTGAAGGTAACTCAGATATACTTATGATGAAAAATATATATGTCAATTTATAAAAAGCTACAGATTTTTTCCTTTTGTTAAAATAAAATAAATTGTTGATGCAAGATAAACATAATGAAACATAAAATAACATTTTGATGTTATTTTGATGTTTTTGTATAGAAGTAATTTAATAACACATGTTGAAAATGTGAAGAATTTCATGCTGCTTGATTCAAACCCATAAGCTTGTATGGGCTTGTAGACTACAAGTGTGTTATCTTTTTAGCTTTAAAAAGATCATTTAGCAAATGTTATTGGTATGCATATATTTCATAAACCTCTGCATGTGTTTTACAGTTATTGTTCACTGAAGTTTGTCTGATGGCTATGGAACATTTTTGGGAGCCAGCACAAGCCATCCTAAATCAAAAAACAACAAAAAAGAAACCTACAGGGAAAAGATAGTTTGAGATGCAAGAAACTGCACTTAAAAAGTCATGTAGAGTAATTGGTGATCTGAGAAAGAACATTATCAAATACGTTGATGTACATGCTACACATTTGCATTAGTACTTTGTTCACTTTGTTTTAATTTTTTTATTTTTTAAGAGTAAAAAAGTAGTATTAAAATAGAAAAGTTACAAATGACAAAGAATTTCACTGAACCAAATAATTTCAATTTGACAGGATTTGTTGTGTTGCATAGTGTTGTCTTCAAATTAGTTGTTCATATCACCAGCTATAAGCATACAAAATTTGAAGAAGAAGGAAAAAGGAGAAAAAAAGATATTAAGAAATTAAGAAGAGATAAAAAGGCAAAAATAAGTATTAACTGCTCATTAATATTTTGAATGAATGGATGAATCAGTGTGATTTGAGTTTAAGGACACTTAGAATTTTAAATAGAAAATGAATTACTAAATTAAAAGTAAAAGGAAATATTCTCATAGTACATGGAGGAGCAAATAAAATTATATTTTCTGATAAGAAAACACATTATTTATAATCTCAGCTACTCCAAAGGCTGAACCAAGAGGATCACAAGTTTGAGGATGATATGGGAAATATTGCAAGACTTTCATTCAAAAAACTAATTAAATTTTAGAGCTGATGTTGTAGCTTAGTGCTCCTTGAATCCAATCCCTAGCATTAGAAAAAATAAACACAAAATACTAAAGATGAGCTGGCCAAATAGTTCAGCGGATTAAAACACCTGTTTAAGCAGACATGGGGAGGGGAGCTTAATCCCCAGGTCTACCTTGCCGGCCCCACCCCCAGAGCACTCTGAGAGGGCGATTGAAACAGGGCATGGTGGTGCGTGCCTGTATTCCCAGCACTTGGGAGGCTGTAAACAGGAGGATCACTATAGTCTGATCTGCACAGTGAGACTCTACACCCTGTCCTAAATATAAAAACAAAACAAAATGAAACAAAACAAATTACGTTGCTTTAAATATTGTAGTCGATAACAGAAAACTCTTTGAACTTCCAGTATTTGTGAACATAAATCTTTCTAAATAAAAGAGATGGTAGTGTCTGGTACAGTTACCTTACTTAAAGTGATACAATCAGATTAAAATAAATGCTAGCAGTGTAATTATTTTTAAAATCGCACATCATTATTAATATTTTGGATCTGATTTAAATAATTCATCCAATTACATAATTCAAATTTGGGATGGAATTTTATGTTGTCTTTAATGACAATATCTTGTTCTATTTTACATTTATTTCAACACATTCATATGCTGTTTCTTCTAGCAGGTATGATGTTTGAATTCTCTCTCTCTCTCTCTCTCTCTCTCTCTCTCTCTCTTTTTTGGTGGAACCAGGGATTGAACTCAGACCCTTATACTTCCTAGGGAAGAACGTATTCCACTGAACCATCTCCCCGGCCCCTAAATTCTCTTTGTATGATTAAAAAATTGCCTGTGTGAATTTTTGTTTTAGATAACACGGCTGTAGTTTTGACTAACAGAACTGGCTTCAGCCTTCAAGAAGAGCCTGTCTTCTACATCCCTATTCTAATCGCTGACAATGGAATTCCACCTCTTACGAGTACAAACACCCTGACGATATATGTTTGTGATTGTGACGACAACGGGAATGCTCAGATGTGCAGTAACAAAAAATTAAGTTTTTCCATGGGATTTGGGGTAGAAGTCATCATTGCGATTCTGATCTGCACCATGGTAATATTTGGTAAGTACTGTAGAACTGAACTACCTTTGGTGAATAGATGCCTAACTATGTTTTAGCAGTGTTTTGTGTATGTATTTAACACTTATAAATGCATTATAATTGTTAAACTAAATGGATTAAATGAAAATGTAGAATATATAAGTACATATTTGAAACCATATATCAAATGATCCTTGAACTATATGAGTACACGTATAACTCTGTGAACATTTTTTAAATATATGCAATGCAATGAGTATGTTTGTAAAAATTAATAATGATGATGAAAGAGTAAACATTCTACAAGATAATCTTCAGGGCTTTGCCTGTATAATATAGTTTGATCCTCACAATTATCTTATGAAGTAGTAATCACTATATGTTTTTGTTTTTATTTTTGTTTTGTGGCCAGCTCAGCCCACCTTGGGGGAGGGGCTGGTGTACCATGTGGTACAGGGAATCTACTGCTGTCACTGTGTGCTTACCTAAGGAGTTTGCCTAAGTAGGCGCTTTAGACTGATGAGCTATATTGGCAGCCCAGCAGTCTCTATTGCCTATATTCCATACATTTAAAAAAAGAAAAAATAAGTAAAACTGGAACTAAAACAGTACTCAAGGGCCGGGAGATAGCTCAGTAGAATAGGTGCTTGCCTGGCAAGCGCAAGGTCCTGAGTTCAATTCTCAGTACAAAAAAAAAAAAAAAAAAAAAAAAGCACCACCACCCAGCAGCAGCAAACCAGTATTGAAACAATTGCATGCTTTATTAATGATCAGGTTATATGATAAGATTCCATAAATAAACTGAAACTTTATGTAACAATATACAAAGCTGTACATTGAGCAGTATGTTAAAAGAAAAAAGTAAAAGATACTACTGTTCTACCAATTTTCAAATATTCAATATATTATTATAGATTATAATGATCATGTTGTAAAATGGATCTCTTAAACTTATTCCTAATGTTTTAGGATACCAGGGATTGAACTCAGGACCTTGCACTTGCCAGGCAAGCACCTATTCCACTGAGCTAACTCCCCAGCCCCCTCATTCTTAATGTTTAACTGAAGTTTTGTATTTAAAATTTGAGCAACATCTCCTCACTCTTCATACTAGAAGATGGTGAAAAGCAGTATCAACTCTGCCCTTATGAATCTGTTTTACATTCCTTTTATAAGTCAGATCACACAAAATTGGCTTTTCTACCTCAAGTTACATACCACTTATAACATGTTCTTCAGGTTTATCTGTGTTGTTCTAAAGGATAGACATTTCTTCCCTTTTAAATTAAAACTTACTGCATGTATATATTAAATCTTCTTTGTCATTCATCCATTGATAGGTTGAATCCATACCTTGGTTATTCCATATCATGGCTGTTACATATTTTCACTATTTCTTTAACAAATTTATTTCACTTGAGCTGATAGAAATGATAAGCAACTTGATATAATCATCCCATAATGAATAAATTTATAAAACTTAAATATTGTAAATAACAACTTGAGATATTTATTTGTCAATTTAATATTTTTATTAAAAAGACAGATTATTAGGATTGAGGTATATGAGAGAGATCATTTAATTTAATGAATGGAGTAAATAAAGCTCTCAGTAAACATTTCCAATTTATTCATTATTTTTATTTTATTTATTTATTATTTATTTAAGCAGATCCACTTTTATTAGCCTGTGAGCCACACAGGGATATTTTTCTTTTCTTTCTTTTTTTCTTTTTCTTTTTGTATTCAGTACAGCGTCTATAGGGTCCTACTACACAGTTTGGACTCATAGTGATCCTCCTGTTTTCAGCCTCTCAAGCACTGGGGTTATAGGCCCATGTCACCATTCCCAGTCTCTATTTTTATTTTCATAAAAAAAGTTATATGTATTTGCAGTGGAGGAAGCTGGATGTTAGCTTGTCTTAATTACCCTTTAAAAACCATAATCAGGGGGCCAGGGAGATGGCTCAGTGGAATAAGTGCTTCCCTGGCAAGCGCAAGGGCCTGAGTTCAACCCCTGGCTCCGCCAAAATAAATAAATAAATAAATAAAATAAAAACCATAATCATCTAGCATTTAATCATCCTTTTTTGCAACACCAACACAAGTAGTCTAAGAACTGTTTTTGTTTCCTTTGATTTATTTTAGTATAATTATTATTATTATTTTTTTTTGTGGCACCAGAGATTGAACTCAGGACCTTGCACTTGCCAGCAGATGCCTATGCCACTGAACTGTATTATGTTTCCTTTATAAATCCACAATGAAAGCCAGTACAACAGAGTGTTGAGAATATTTCGATCTGTCATTGATTCTGGAATCACAAATGGATCTCTTAAAACTGCTGTTCCTTCACCAAGTGTCAAAAATCCTTCAAAAAAATCAAACACATTTCATTATCAAAAACTACCACTTTTGCTGCACTGCTTCAAGTTTTCAAGTTAGTTTTAATGATCTTTCATCATAAAAATGAATTCACAGCTACACCTCTAAGTTCCAGAGTCCTAAAGTATAATAAAGTTGGAAGCATACTCTTAGGAAGACAGCAAGTTCTCAGCTAACCACAGGAACAGACTTCCTTTCATCCCAGGATTCTATGAATAAACTGCAGTATAATGGAGAAAAGTGAGAGAAATTTATTTGTTGGTAGGAAGTATCAATTATTTAACAGTAATTGACTGAAAATTTTGTGAACAGTCTCTGCAGTTCAAATTGGAAATTTATTTAGGACACCTTTCTTTTTCGACCTTATATCTCTGATAAGTTTTAAACTGTATTGCCTCATTTTAAATGTGGAAAGCTGTAGTTATTTCAAGAGCAGTATTTTAAGTTTTTAAGTGTAAGAATTTTAGAATTGTATTTATGTTTAAATTTTAAGTTTTAATTAATAAATTATTGTAGATATTTTGGAGATCCAATGTAATATTTTAATATATTACATGTATCTTTTGTAGAATTATCAGATCCCAGAAATTAACATATCCATTAGCTCATCAATTCTTTATATTAAGGAAAGTTGCAGTTGATTTATCTGAATGAAAATATACTTTATTACTAGTTATTCTTTGCTGTGCTATAGAACACCATTCCTCTAACTCACTAACCCTGTACTCATTGAGGAACATCCACTCTTTGCTACTGAGCCTCTATCTTCATTGCCTTGTTTGGAAGAATTTTGCATCTATATTTATCAGTGAGGGTGACTTTTAATTGTCTTTTTTGGTTTTTTAACACAGTGATGCTGTCCTTAGAAGCAAATCTAGAATTGTTCCTCTTCTAGATTTGAGAAAAATTGACATTAGTTGTTCTTTAATTGGCAAAATTCAGCTATAAAGTTACGAGGTCCTAGAGTTGTTTTTTTTTTTTTTTTTTTTTTTTTTTTTTTTTTTTGGGGGGTTTTTTTTTTTTTTTTTTTTTTTTTTTTTTTTTTTTTTTTTCTTCACAGGGGATTTTTTGTTTTTATTTTATTTTCATTTCCCTTATTGGATATTAGCCTATTCAAATTGCCAGTTTCCCTTTGTTATGTTGTTACTAAGTTTGGGCCGGCCAGACAGCTCAGCAGACTAAAGCACCTGCTTAGGCAGACATAGGGATCGAGGTTCAATCCCTGGCATGTCATGCCGGCTCTCCCCCTGGACACACTGATATGGAGATTGAGATCGTGCATGGTGGCAAGTACCTGTAATCCCGGTGCTTGGGAGGCTGAAAACAGGAGGATCACTTGGAGTCCGATCTGTGCAGTGAGGCCCTGTCGACCCTGTACTATATACACACAAAAAAGAAGCCATTGTTACTAAGTTTTATGTTTAAACAATTTAACCAAGGTTTTTTGGTTGTCCTGTTTGTTTTCATATAATTGTACTAAGTAATCTATTTTGATTATTTGTCTTTGTCAGTTGTAATGTTCCCCCTTTAATTTTACTCAGATAATTTTCCTGTATTTGGTTATATGGAATACTACCTAATATATTTCTCTTCACTATAGTTTTAAAAAATTGCTTCATTTTTATTTCAAACAAAAGGTCAAGTGAAGTGTGGTTATTTACAATGCAAACAATAAAGAAAAACAGGCAAATATATATAGATGTATGGGTATATACAAGATATAATTTTTAACTTTGAAAGTATCCTGATATCTTTCTAATATGCAAAACATCCAAACTTCACTTTTCTTACTTTTAACATGATATCATAAAATGAGTTTCAAAAATAATTTAAACAAAAAATAAATGCAACAGTTTTAGAACAATGCTTGGCATACATCATGCATTCCATAAACACAAACTTAGACAAATAGTATGTCACAGATTTTGCCTCAGTGAACAATGTCAGATTTGTACCTTTCTGAGATTGCATTAATATGGATAATTGGTTTTGTGATTGTATTTTGTTCTACTTGAATGTTAGAGAAAAAATTAAATTTTGAACTTTGAGAATCAGCAAAAACAGTTCATTATTTTATGGTGTCTTTTTCTATGTATTATCAGCCAGAAAGATCATTTTTTTCATTTTCTTCTTCTAAAATATTCATCAACAAATATATATTTTTGGTGTATAATTAACGAATGAAGCTCTGTTGTGATCTTGTACAAAAGTAGCATTTCAAAGTATGTTACAGTTTTTACATTTTAATTCATATATTTTTATGTTTCCTTTATCAGGATTTATATTTTTCATGTTGGCTCTAAAACAACGCAGAAAACAGACTCTATTTCCTGAGAAAAGTGAAGATTTCAGAGCAAATATATTCAGATATGATGATGAGGGGTGTGGAGAAGAAGACACAGAGGCCTTTGATATTGTAGAGCTGAGAAACAGCACCATGATGCGGGAGCGGAAGGCTCGGAGAACCACCAGCGCTGAGATCCGGAGTCTGTACAGGCAGTCTTTGCAGGTGGGCCCAGATAGTGCTGTGTTCAGGAAATTCATTCTTGAAAAGCTAGAGGAAGCAAACACTGATCCATGTGCCCCTCCCTTTGATTCACTTCAGACCTTTGCCTTTGAGGGAACAGGATCATTAGCTGGCTCCCTGAGCTCCCTGGGATCGGTAATCATTGAACAGGACGAAAATTTTGATTATCTCAGTGACCTGGGACCTCGCTTTAAAAGATTAGCATACATGTTTGGTTCTGCAGTGCAGTCCAACAAGTGAAGTTTCAGAGCACCACGATTCGAAACATGTGGCACAATGGGAGTCTTTTGTTTGACAGACTTGTGTGCTTTGCTTGAGGGTGAGGTCTCCTACTTTACAGTTTTTTACATACCTGGAATAAATGCCCCCAAGGTTTTTTTCCAGGCACCCACATTTTGTCTTTGAACAAAACATTGGAAGCTACATTAACAATGAGATCTTGGATGCCAGTGCAAACTAATCATCTACAACAGAAAATTTTGCCTACATTTTTTGATATCTATTGTTAATATTTGTGAAGGGCTAATGTTATAAAGGCTCTAAATTAGACTATCTTAATATTATTGACATTATCTCTGTTTTTATTCTCATAGCATAAGAATAAAGAGTTTGTGTGTGTTAAGTCGCTGATACTATACAGAAATAAAAATTAGCACCTAGAAGAATCTGGGTGCCTATACAGTGTGAAAATATTTACTTAATATGGACAAGCACGTTTCTGAATGAGATTCTGTGAATCATGTTTGTTTGATATTTTTAAATATTTGCCAAAAATCACTGTTTAAAAGTTATTTCAAATTTCTGTAGATATTTGGTATATATGAATTTACCTGAGGCACAAACTATAAATTTGTATTTTGTTGATATTATAGCTTTATAAAAAAGAGCAAGAAAATATGCTTACATTCATAAGCAACCCAAAATACACTTTTTACATGTGAAAATACAATGGCTAGTTGCATGTCAGAATTTACTAATTATTAGATTAAACTTTATAAAATTGGTGAAAATTGTGAAAATTTTAAATAGATTTTTTATTTCTTCTAAAGTTATATAGATAAATTAAAGTACTATTGAATTGAAGCTTGAATTAGTACAATTATTGACTTCAGTGACTCAACATTCATATAATATAACTTAATTACAATTCCCAGCATTTCTTTTTCTATTAAGAGTGTAGGATAAAACACAAAATTCATTAGTGCCATTTGTTTTTAGTACCAAGTATGAAATTAGGTACAGAAGTTACTTCTGTTGTACTTGGAAGAAAGTAAATGCTTATTGATTGGACATAAATTTTAGGGCAACATTAGAATATAACATAACAAAATGCCTTCATTTTATTTGACATTCTGGGAATGATTCTTACTATCTTCAAATCAAGATGGACTTCAAAAGTAAGAGTGAACAGAGAAATATAGCAAAGAAAAAAATTGTTCTTCAAACTGGTTTATATAAGCGCTTTTATGTCTGGCAAGTGAGACTGAGATGAATTGAACAGCCCATCTATATTTAAATCAAATGCTGTATTTTAAGTAATGTTAAGTTGTATTTTATCAGTTGGAAGATTATAATAATTTTTATTACTTCCAAATGTAAACATTCATATCATATACTGATTTTTATCAATAGGAACTGGGAATGAGTATGTTAGCAAAACAGATCATTTTACTTTATAAAATTTGAGAAGATCAGTTTTGAAATTAGACAATTTAGGAACACATTACAAACAAATAGGAAGATATAAACAGCACTAACTTCTTATGCACAAGCAAAAGCAATGAACATAAATGTCTTTAGAATCAAAAATTGATTAAACAAAAAAGATTCGAGACCAAGGAAAACTTAAATTTCTTTTTCTTTTCTCTTTTTTTAAAAATGAATTTAGGACAGGGTATACAGGGTCTCACTAAACAGATCAAACTCTTAGTGTTCTTAGTGATCCTCCTGTTTTCAGCCTCCTATGTGCTGGGATTACAGGCACATACCAACCCACCAAGTCTCGATTGCCATCTCAGCATGCCCCAGGGGCAGGGCTAGCACAGCATGCCAGGGTTTGAACCTGTGCTGCTGTGAAGCAGGTACTTTACTCTGCTGAAGTATCTGGCTGGCCCTTAAATTTCTATCCTAGCAATTTAAAAATCAAGAGCGCAGCAGGAGAAATTATCATGAATTATTCCAGGAGTGGTTTCTCGCTGTGTTTAGAAAAGAATAACATGCAATTCTCTCTTAACAACTGGAAAATATGAAAGTACAACAAACACCACATGAATCAATCCATGTAAAATAGAGTAGAAAAAAGGAGTTCTGGGTATCACAGTCTGTTTCGTTAGGAATGAAACACTGAACATATGGCAGACAACTTTAAACATGTACAGTGCTTGTGACTAGAGGTTTAGAGATTGTGACCAGTGGCACTGAAAAGTTGCTTTAAAATATATGCTGATTAGTCAGCAATAGGATTGTAAATCACTCAGTACAATGGAAAAGGGTCTAAAAAGTAAGTCCCTTTCAATCATATCAAAATTATTTCTAATTCTAGGAGAGAGATTGTAACTTCCTGGATAACTCTGCCTTGCAATTTCAACACTTTCATTTTTTCTAGTTACAAGGCTGTTAGAAAAAACATAGCCATTTCCTAAGCTATATGTATTATTTTGTCTGTAAATTGAATAAATCTGAATGAATGCAGGTATTTATGAAGATAGCACAGCTTCACAATTATACCCATGACACTTAAATATCACCCTATTCTGACTCCTAGGGAAGGAATGGTTTAATCTTGTAAACCATTAAATTACTAATGGTCAAAATAAAATACTTGAAGTGCTTGGTAGGAATTGGAAATATTAGCAATAGTAATATCTAAGTGCATATACCTAAACCACTGATGTGAATTTAATTAGCCCATTTTTATTTGAATATCTATGTGAACTTTGTCACAATTACCTAAATTTTCTGTATCTCAGTTGGTAATCTATAAAATGAGTTCCAATCTACTATTTCAAATGACTGTAATGGGAAATATATGATAAAAAGGTACACTCGTATCATGTGCAATAACTGGCAAAATGTAAAGATTCAATAAATAGCTGTGCATCGATAACTGCTGACTTGATTTGTCTGGAATGTGGTCCCTTCTTTACAAGCACTACGTGACCCCAATGGTTTCCCAGCAAGTTTGAAATATAAAGCAACTTCTGACGTGATTCGTGCACTATGTAGTATCTTACTATTCTACTTACTTTGGCAGTCTGCCGTCTTCGTTTCACCTCTCTTAATTTACTCCTAACAGTTCATAGTTTACATCTGAGACAATCTCCAAAACATTTATATTTGTCATTGTCACACTATTTCTAGAAAGCTGAGACTTTCTTATAAAGACATAACTGGCTACTGTTTACCACCTGTAGTCCTTGCTTTGTCTTTTTAAATTCAAATCACATAGACACCTACACACAGGCATGTATCATATCATATCATATACATTATTTGTTACATTTCTTGCTCATTAGAATTTAATTTATATGTGTATAAAGAATTGAGAGTCTAATTCCTTTAGTAGTGTCTAAAGTATTTTCTAAAAAAAGTAGCAAAAATGTCTTGAGTATAATTAAACCAATTTAGTCATGTACAGAAGTTACATTTATTTCCTTTGACTATTATTATGAAATATTACAATTGTACTACAATTAGTCCAAGATGGCTATGGGTACAAGATAAAATTTTCAAAATGAGTCTAGAAATTTTATGGAATTAGGATTGTAGCTTATTTGCAAATAACATACCTTGAGTGCATTTAATGTTGTTATATTATTCAGACAAAACAAATCCTTTGATGACCACCATGAAAAGGTTCATATATATATGTACATTTTCATGAAGTGTGAGAAATATGAAAACTTCCTATGGATTAGGGTTCTGTTTCACACCATAGTAATGAATACATGGTGTAGTGCACAAAGCATCTCAGACCCTGTAAGGTTGATTAGAAGCTCATGCATAATATTTGCAGCTTTATTTAAATAACATATATATGAAAAGAAAAAAAGAATAATTAGATAAATGGAGGAAAAAATGTGTGTTTTTACATATTTAAATATATTCATTTAACTAATTAGTTATCAAAATTTCCATTTCTTGGAAAAGGAAAAACTAATATCTCAATCACAAAGAGTACCTTGGGAATTCCTAGATAATGCTATGTCTTTTTTTGTTTTACCTAGAAAGGTCTGTAGACAGCTGGTTGACCCATCAGAAATACCACTGGAGGTGCAATAGTGGGAGCACATTTCCTAGTCTCTGAAGAGGTAGAGGTTGTTTTTACTATAGGTAAAATGAATGCAGCTGTTGAAACTTTTCACACACAACAGAAGCTAAGAGAAAGCTTAAATCAGTCACTCAAAGACTATGTAACACACATTATGCAGCAGCAGAGATCTCAAGGCCTTCCGAAGAATTCACATCTTTAAGATCAGCCTCAACAAGACTATGCCTGTATAATTTCTAGGAAAGCAGGTCAGGCATTGGGCTCCTGTCATCCCAAAGGACAATGGCTGTGAGATTATGAGGGCATCATTATGTCTGCCATACCATCCATTTTTATTCTTTCAGTGCCCACCTAGATTCCAGGGGACCAGTAGTAGCCAAGTAAGTAAAAGAGGCTAGGACACAGACTTGGATGTGCAGTTGAAGTTGTCCCTTAAATAGAAGATAGACTTTTCAATCAATATTTGTAAGCAAATGGAAGCTGTGCACACTGTTTGATATTGGACCAATGTGGGTGTCCCAAAGTCCAATGCGTTTCTTCCAGATTTAAATGAAGTAAGATTTTGGTGATGCTTCTCTTCAGTTAAAAACCAATAACACTTCAATATAGATAATATATAAAATCAGTTTGTATTCCACATAATTCTAATAATACTGTGGATTTCTATTTTTAATTAATCCATACCAAAACAAAAGTAAATAATTGACATCTATTTTTCACACAGTTGTATTTATCATTCATTTTAATATTTAAAATATAATATACATAACTTATTTGTAAATGACTTACCTGAGCTACAGCTCAAATTGAACATAGTGACTGGAGTATTTTCATGATTGTACAGAGGTAAAAATGAATAAAGCATTACACCTCTAAATTCTAGAGTTTTACCTCACTTACATGTCACATTTTACGTTATCTTTTCATTTTGCTAATATATTTTGGTGTGCATCCTTAGGTAAGTTATTTAAAATATTTCCTAATGATACTTCATCTGAACAAAGGACATCTTAGGAATACAAGGACATAACACTATTACGAAAATAACTGAAAATATAAAATATAAATAACATAATTGTGCCAAGTACAGAGCAAACACTTGACACTTGTTTTTTTCTTTGCTAAAATAATGATAATTATCACATTACTAGTTTTACCTTTATAAGGTTTATAGATCTATCTGTTTTACTTAGTTACTAAACTTAAAATACGCAAGAGTTTTTTTTTTTTTTAAAAAAAGAGAAAATAGATGAACTTGGGACACCAATCAACTAAATGTTACTTAGTATTTTATTGCTTTGACCTTCCAATGGAAATTTTCTGCTAACACCAAAGAAGAAATCATCTGCTCAAGTTATGCAAGGTATGTTGTTCCTGAAAGTACTTCCTCTTTGAAATTTATTTTGGGGAAAAAGCTGTAAGTAGTGACCAACTTTGTGGCACCTTTTTGTAGTTATACACAAACAAAATCTGCCAGAGTGGAGTTGATTGTTCTCACTTGAAACAACAGGGAACAGACATTGTTACTGTAATATATTAGAACTACAAGAAAACAAAGAAACAAAAAATCTGATAATCCAAGAGAAACTTTGTATGTATTTTCCTAATAATCACCATAGTTCTATGTATGCTAACATATAGAAGTTAAATTACTCAGGATATTATTTTCATTTCTGACAGTACAAAATGAAAAACTGTGCACTTTTAACTTTTAATTACTTTTCTTTTTCATCTTTTAAAGATAATTTGTAGATACTTTGCTATGCAGTATATACTGAGTGAATTTATGTCATCTTAC